GGTCTTGGGCATTTTTTCTTCTCCTGGAAGGTGAGGATTCCAGCATGATTTGTAGTGGTTTAGGCTCTGACCTCACTTGTTTTAGCCATTCACTTATTTATTTGTGCAGCAAGTATTCATGGAGCTACTGTCATATATCAAGAACTCTGTTAGGTCCGGAGGAAGGACCTGGAGACAGATTAATATTTTGTGGTTCACAGTGTACAAGTATCGCACTACTTTTGTTAAATTTATTCCTAAACATTTTATTCTTTTCGATGCTATTGTGAATGGACCCATCTCTCAACTTTCAATTGCACAACATCCCAATTTTCCATAGGGTGTTTTAGTGAGGATGTTACACTGAGCCCCTTCTCTCACAGAGCTTACAGTTTGTCAGGCAAGATACACTGGAAAAGTGTCATAGGTACCAGTTTTATACTTTGTACAGGGATGATGGGCATATACTTGATATTCAGTAAATACTTTGGGGCTTACTAATTAACCAATTGAGATGGGGATTTGAGCTGGCTATCCCTGAAAGTTTCAGTAGGATTTGGACAGCTACATAGGTTATATTTAATCAAGTGAATTTGTGGTCCCCCAGCCTCATATCTTCTTTGTAGCACATGGGAGAAAATGTAGGCGGAAAGGACTACGCCCTGTCCTCAGGTAGTACTACTACTCAGCTGGAAGATTATACATGTTTTCAGACCTGGGAAGTTACTCTTATTTCTGTTAGGCAACTTTAGGGGTGACGATACTGAGTAGGAATAGCTGCCTCACTGAATTACAGAAAGAAATTCGGGTTAGAATTATCATTCTCCCAGGTTCTTTGCTTGAATGTTAATAGAAACCTGAATTCTTAGTTCCAAAGTATTTATGGGTAAGAACTAGAATTCTCAGTTCAAACCATTCAGTGGAATAAGTCTGTATAGGAAATCGGGAATTACCTAGTTTTAATCCTTAAAATATTCTAACCACACAAATAGAGGACCGTTTTCCTCATTTTCATTTCTTATTGAGGACACAGGATCACAAGGAGATTGCCTTATCTCTGCATTCTGGGCATCTTCTTCTTCTTCTTGTTTTTTTTTTAATTAAAAATTTATTTATTTGGGGGAGATAATTAGGTTTAGTTATGATCAGAGGGAGGTACTAGGGATTGAACCCAGGACCTTGTGCATGCTAAGCATGTACTCTACCACTTGACTTATGCTCACTACCGCTTGGGCTATACCCTCCCCCCGCATTACATCATCTAATTAAACACTTACTTTATATCATGGAAAATTTTAGACAACCACAAAAGTATAGAGAACAATATAATGAACTCTCATGCTACCATCCCACGGCTTTGAGAGCTGTAAACTTTTCCTCAGTATCTCCTAACTCAGTTTCTTCTGTGACACTCAAATTCCACAGTGTTTTCTCATCTTTCTTTGTGCTCTTATATCCTTTTCTCTTCTAGAGAAATGCATTTAGGTAAGTCTTAAAAATGGAAGTACTGAAGCACAGATTTCCTGATTTGCTATGATTTCTGATTAGCTGTAAAACTTGTGTACTGTCCTTCTCGTCAGCCACTGAAGCACAAAGACTCATCTCCACAGAAGATGCTTGTGCGTGTGAAGCCACACTGGCACTCCGGGATAAGGTCAGCTCGTATCTGCAGAGGCTGAACACCAAACATATCCTTTCTGGAAGGTTTTCTGCTTCTGCTTGAAGCAAGCTGAGGTACTAAAATTGGGCCGACATTCCACAGGATAAGGAAAAAGTTCGTTAAGTTTCGAGATGAGCAATAGTAGCACATAGCTTTATTTTCTAAATTTAGAATTCTTTTCAAATGTTTTAATAGACTGTTATGCCTATCTTTACTTATGTGTAAAAGCTGTGTAATTATTTATTTTCCTAGTGCTTTTTCACAGATGTAGAAGCTCCTCACTGAGCTCTGTTTAACAGGTGGTGCTATTCTGCTGATTCCTTACTATGGCTTTCATATTCAGAACGGGTCAGCTGATTACCAGGGTGTGACGGTGCAGAAGACACAGAGCTGTGCACTCTCTCTGTCCAGCCCAGTGGTCAAAACGCAGACTTCAAAATGGAACATAGTAGCACCTCAGCAACCTTCCAAATCAGTTGTTTAGCCAAAGAAGTCACTCAGGAAAAAGTACTTTTTCTTAGCGCAGCTCAAGTGAACTGACAACACCATTCTAGTCATCCCAGAGGAGTGGTACTCAGACTGAGATGGGGCCACCCCAGGAGTCTGCAGAGACCTTCAAGGGGTATTGGTGGGGCTGAGGCAGCACAGAAAATGTTAAAGGAATCAGTTTCCAAATCCTTCGCTTCCTTACATTGATCTGCCTAAAATGTGACTGGGGGTCAGTTGGCATTCTCTTTTCTCACCTCTTCAGTACCACCATTCTCCTAACTTTATATAAAAAAGGCATACCTCTTACTCAGCCTGCCCTTTACTAAGGTGAATTTCTTGGAAAAGTAAACTCTCCAGAGAGCCAAATAAAGGGTAAATTCAACAGATTATTAATGAAGCCCTTATAGACATATGTCCCCCAATGAATTCCATTAAGAGATACATTTCTAATCAAAACTTACCTTTTGTTTTAAATGATTTTATGTCAGAATTTGTAATTTGTTTATTGTTTAGATCAACTGTGTGCCCAAAATAGTTGTAATGATAACTCAAATGAGATCATTTAAAAAATTTAGAGCCCATGGTCAAAGAAAATTAATTTAAAGGTAATTTCGATATAAATGTGTATTTGCTTGTTGTCTGTATAAAGTTTACATCAACGAAATACAATAGAGTGATCAAGAACAGATTTCCAAGATTCAAAGTAGAATAAAATTCTGTAGAGAAAGTAGAAATACAATTTCAAGGAAATATTTTATTTTAGAAGAATGATAGTAGTATTAATTCAGTATGGTATTAATATTACATGGGATACATTTGAAAGACAGATTTAAATTTTATTTTAAAGAGTCACTATTTATAATATAGCAGAAATTGCGTATTTTGTAACTAAACTTAAGAAAAATTTCATATAATTTAAATATGTATATATCCATATAATTTAAATATAAGATATCATTTGTCAAAATTACTTTAGGGGATATCTGAGCAAAAATGTTTGAAGACCACTGCTTTATATCATGCTCTCTAAAGAACAGAATATCTGAGTTTTAGAGTAAATTAGATTATTGATGAGAAAACAATTTTACTCTTTTTGTTCAAAATAGAACTTAAATGTTTTTTCTTGTATTGAAGTGTTTGAAAGTGTGGTTGCATTTTCTAATGTCTAAAAATATGTGGTGTTAGCCTTAACAACTTGCCACTCGATGACATTTTGGAGAAGTTGCAAGCAAATGAATATGGACAAATACATCGTAAAATAGCTCAATTTTTTCACCTGGAAACATGGAGCGCTTGGTGTATTTAATAATTCGGCACACTTCAATATTCCTGCTAATAATTTGCCATTACAAATGCTTGAATGTTACCGGATAAGTAGTGTGAGGACCTTCTGGAAAATCAGTTTCGTTTTTCTAAGGAAATAAATGTCCATATCCTTATTAAGAGCAAACTTTAGTGTCTCTAAGCTATGACTGTGAAATAGTTGGTAGTAAATAGAATGTAAAGTTTCATATTTCTTTCTTTCTTTACTAATTGAGCCATTTAATTTTTAAATGTTTATATTAGTAAAATAACCATACATACAATGGGAACTTTTGATCTATTTTTTTTCTTGATAATATTTATAGTATAAACCAGGCTTATTATTGAGAGTGTAAATTGTACAAAGTATTTACACATAAAAAAATCATACCATTAAATTGAGATGAATATAATTTAGAACTTTATCTTCAACACTTTTGGTTTTTGATCATTTTTGCTAAAGTACTGCTGAAACTATGATCGGGGATTGTAATACACGTACCTAAATATAGTTAACACACATCAAGTGAACTGTTATATGCCATTTTTAATTCATTTTGATGTGAGAAAGAAACACACAACTAAAGACTTTAGTTGTGAATTAAGAGTATTATAACTTTTTACCAAGGACAAAAAAATCCTAAGTTTACTTTATCGTTTTACTTTAGGATCCAATCAATAAAATTATGTATTTATAAATATTACTATAACAAATAACAAAACCTAATGTTTTTAAAATGTTAATGATAAGCCTAACTTTTTTCACTTACATATTTGATACATATAATTTTTTCAGCTTTAAAGCTTGTAACTTTTAGAAGAAAACAATTCTTTAAATTGTATACTACTCATTCTTTTTTGGTTTATGTTGTCCTTAGTATAATAAAAACATCATTATCTTTATATATTATTGTCATTTTTTTTTGGGTGACATCAACTTTGTCTATTAACACATTTCCTTAAATTAAGCTGAATTAACAACTGTTTTGAATATGAAACAGTTCCTTGTCACAGGACACACTGTTGTGGCTCTTTCTACAATTTAATTTCATGCTTTTAAGATTACAAATGTAAATTCATGTTAAATAGAAAGGCTTGAATCAAGAATCTTGTGGGAGAGGGAATACAACAAAATTACTTAAATTTAGATAAAATGATGAGGATGCATTAATATATGCACC